GCTGCTGTTGCCCCCGCCCCCAGAAGCCCCAACACAAACCTGTACCTAGGTGGGACGTCTGACAGTCACAGTCTGTGCCATGCAGGACTCTGCAGATAGCTCCTGGGGATTCCTCTCTGCTTCCAGCTTCCCGCAGCCGCTCCTTCCCAAGAGTGCCCAGTCAGTTCCTGGGTCAAGGAAGGTCTTTCCTCCTACCTAGCCTGGGGAAAGGGAAGTACAGCGGGGGGGGGGGGCTGATGGGAGTTGTAGTCCCCTGCTTAGCAGGTTCACCACAGACTGAAGACAATGCAAACTGTTTTTGAGTTACAGATGATTTAAAAAGTTATCTCGATTTGAAATTTCAATTGTTGTCCAGCATCTTTTTGTTCCTTTTTAGCTCACTTAAGTTACTGCACCTTCTAATTTTCCAGGCTCTCTGAAAACTCATATGCCAGAAAATGTGTTTGAAGAAAATAGGCTGGAATTGAAACTGCAAAAGAAAAATAACAGCAACAACATGCCTTGCTTTGTTGGTAGTGCTGTGCATGTGAACTTCAAAGTGAAATTGCTCAGCAACTGAATATAAAACACATATAAAACGGAGCTATTTTCATTGTCCAACCAGAGAGACATGTAAGTATTATACAAATAATAAGGAATGAAAAGCACTGACTACATTCCTGCACTAAGGAAGTGTGGCTGGAACAATGCATGGAGCGTAGACTCTATCTGAGTACTGATGCAGCAGTGGCATCCTGATCCTAGGGCCTGATTCAAAGCCTATTAAAGTCAATGGGCATCTTTCCATTGCTTTCAGTGGGCTCTAGTTTAGGCCCACATGTGCTGGAGCATATGCCTTCATGACTACTCAACAGTGAGCATAACACTTTTTTAGCCTATTCCCTGCTATCTAGCCATTTTGCTGTGAAGGATTCAGCAGAATGCTGTCTCTCCCCACTCCATGCCACTCCACAATATCAAACATGCCCACATGCCTGGCTGTGGTCCCAGGGTGCATGGGAGTGGCATGGAACACAGATGGGGAGTGTTGGCCCATATGCAGAATGCACATGCGTGTGAATGCACCACAGCTGGAATGCACTCACCCAGCACATACTATATAAGACATAGCAGGCTCACCCCTCAGATTCTGACAAGCCTTTCAGTTTTACATATATAAAGTGTTAGCAACACAGGTAAAGCTCATTTTTATATAACACCAGGTGCTTTTTAACATGCCAGTGTCCCTTTACAACCATGAAATAGATCTGGAACTCTGGGTACATCTGGACTATTCTGATTGGCTGACAGCCATGCCATTGCTCTCTGTCACTAATCCCTGTAAATGCCTGGATCTGACCTTTTCCCCATATAATTTCCTGTTCATCATAGTAATAAAACCCCACAAAGCTATGAATTTATGTGGGGATTATTGCACTTCTTGGGAGGTTGAAGCAACTTGGCCTGTGGCCTCGTGTCCTGCTATGCACTCCAGAAATGCTCTGCATTTTGAATATTACTGCCGGGCAAGTGGATGCTTCATACTCTGGAACAAATTCAAACGTCTTGACAGGCGAACTTTCCCGACGTTGGCAGTCATGTGCCATGCCTATAAATTATGCCCAGAGTGTTCATTTTCACTTTAAATGTGGTCTCATCTCATAGTAATTAATGGTGTCAGGTTACTGGTGTGAAAAACCTGACTTCACAATGACTATAGATTAATTAAATGACAGACACGTCTACAGTAGCCACAATAAATTATTAGTGAGGACTGACACACCTTAAGTGATGTTTTCAAAACCTTGAAATTTTTTCGGTTTAAATGCTCCTCGTAAATATTTGGCTTTGTTAACATCTGTTTCTGTGTTAAAATTAAAGTCGGCAGCACTGGCAAATAACAGCTGACTTGCTGATGAGCTTGGGGAAAATGGAATGCGTGCGCTCCAAGAAATGCTCTTCTCCCCCCAGTGAGCACTATGTGAAATGATCTCTTAATTCAGCACCATCCTTATGTCCTAAATGACTCTCTGCACACTGACGTGCAACCACACCAGCAGATAATTTTGGGTGGGTGGAGGGAAGGAGTGTAGTTGCTGCTTAAAGAAATATGAAATAAGTGTATTGAAGTATGCTTACAATTAATAGATTTGTAGGAAAAGCAGAATGTATAGGGCCAGACTCGCTGGTCCCTTTGTCCTGCCTGAGTTGCGCAAAGGGGACAGAATCTCATTGCACGTGCCAGGCTGTGAATTCTCAGCTGGTGTAGAGTTGCCAATCCCCAGTCTATGAGGTGTTGCGGAGAAGGAAATGATGTATCAAGGCAGGGCACAATACAGCTCCATTCTGCCAGTTTACAGCTCCTTTAGGGACCATAGCCAGCTCTCGTAAGTTACAGTAGCCCCCGTCTGTTCTAATTTACGTCTGGGCAAGGACAGCTTGAGAATCAGCCTGAGAAACTGTTTTGCATGCTGAGCAGATCTTTGCACAGGACAGATTTGAACCATAATGTTAGATAGAACAGACTTACTGAAGAGACCTAAGGTAACATTTTCTAAAGCACCTAAATGACTTGGGCTCCTAAGTCCCATTTTCAAAAGTGACATGGGCATTTAGAAACCTAAATGTCACTGAAAGACAACAGAATGTGGACTAAGTGCCTAAATCACTTTTGAAAATGGGACTTAAGTGCTTTTGAAAATCTTTACCCTTGGTCCGAAAGAAAAAAGAAGAGAGCTATTATGTACACATTGGATGTATTTAATTACCTCGATGTTAAACTTTTCAGTTTATTCTAGAAATTAAATACATTGTTAACAGTTAACACAAGAGGTCCTCAAGGAGCTAATATATCTAACAGAAACATGAGCTGAAACCTATTAGCCTCTGCATCAAAAAGTTCAAATTCAGGTTTAGTGTAAGCAAGTGCAACTCCACTAAAAGCCAGGAAGCTGTATCTGTTCTTAACCCCACCCACCAACAAGAACATACAACTGATGAGAGAAAAATGGAGATAATGGGTGAAGTTTCTCCATAATGGAACTGCATTGACCTCACACAAGGTCTGAATTGGACATTATGGTCTAAGGCAGTACAGTTCAACCTTTAAGAAAAGCCACTTCATCATAGAATGACTTTGTAAAGAGCCACCGTATCAAAACATTGTGATAACCCAACAAAGTGTCTTATATTCAGAATCTGGGACCCTGTGTGAGAATGCAGGGCTTGTCTGTTGGATCAATCTGATGTCTAGTGCTGGAACCCTGCATAGAGAGTCAGAGAGATTTTTGCAAAGTCATTCTCAGCTCAGATCAGGTGAATTCTTTCCTGGGTGCTGGCTGGTGAGTAGTGCCCACATGCTCAGGGTTTAACTGATCGCCATATTTGGGGTCGGGAAGGAATTGTCCTCCAGGGCAGATTGGCAGAGGCCCTGGAGGTTTTTCACCTTCCTCTGCAGCGTGGGACATGGGTCACTTGCTGGAGGATTCTCTGCACCTTGAAGTCTTTAAACCACGATTTGAGGACTTCAATAACTCAGGCATAGGTTAGGGGTTTGTTACAGGAGTGGGTGAGTGAGATTCTGTGGCCTGTGTTGTGCAGGAGGTCAGACTAGATGATCATAATGGTCCCTTCTGACCTTAAAGTCTATGAATCTATGTGTCCAATTAATTCCAATCTAGGAGAATGAGGGGTGCAGTAACTTTGTAAGGCACAGGGAAGAGCATCTCCTCAGCTCTTTTCCACCTCCTTCTCTCCTGCATGGAAAGGAGGGAAAGGTTTTCCTTTGCTTGGTTCTCTACTGGCAGGGAGTGGTCTCCTCTGTTTTCCTGCCTCCCCTGATCCCAGCCACTAATGGCTGTTGCAAGGGGAAGGGCCTTTCTCCCCCTCACCTGCCTCCCTACTGGCTGCTGCTAGGAGTGGGATTACATTGGTCCTTTCCTTCCTTCCCCTCCCACATTGAAAATGCATGGCTCCTGCACTATCAGTGTGTTTGATCCATGCTCCTCATTTTCTCTGGCCATATATAAATCAGCCTGGCAGCAAATTGATAATCCACAGTCTTCTTGCTCTGCCTTGGTCTGTAACTGACGGTGCAGCACAGCCACAGATCTTGAGGGAGTTTTGTGCACAGCCCTTAAATCTGTGTATGTGGATCTAGAGCAGAAGGCAAAAGGATCACTGATCTGGAGAGGTCTCTGAGGTCATTTTTAAAGCAGTTGGAACTGAGGAACCCCACAATCATAATGATGTCCCTTAAAGAAAACAGAGATGGCGGCAAAATTCAGAACAGAATTTCAAACACTTAAATTTAGCCATGTTCTGATCCAATGCTTCGGTTTAGTCCATTATAAAGACAGGAGACATTTGTAAAATATAGATATTGTTATATTATCGGGAATTGCTATACATGAGCTGGGCCCCATTCAAGACACAAACTAAAGAGAGGTACTGCCTTGAAAAGCTTACAATCTAGAGGGTAAACTCACTCAGCTTCTCAGGAGTCTTTCCATTGACTTCCATGGGCTTTGAATCAGGTCTTCAGAGACCAGATATGCTGGGAAATCAAGAGGAGGGAATAATTTATGTTTTCTATAGATCTATTGATTATGTATCTGGGGCCATATCCTCAGCCGGTGTAAACTTACATAGTCAATTGGCCATTGACTTAAATGGTGCTACATGGATTTACAAGAGATGAGGATCTGTAACTACATATTTACTCTTTTGTTATGAATTCACAAATCGTGGGTATGGAGGGATTTGAATAAGCCCGGAGGACGGTGGTGGTTTGACATGCTGGGATTCAGAGGTCATTCTACACATAAAGAGCAGCCTGGAAAGAAGCATTCAGTTTAGAGTGGGAGAAGGAAACCAACAGAATGGTGAGACAAGTACTGGCTGGGTCTGACTGGATTTCAAACTCTTCCTATGTCCAGAGACATTTGAACCTGGGCTTTTGGTTCAAGCCCATTTATTAAAAAATAAACATAGAGAGGGACCATTAAAACACCTCATAAACAGCCAAAGAAGATGCTGATTTGTGCACAGCAGCATTCTGTATACAGGTATGTTTTTTATTACCAACATGTAACTTTAACATCAATTGCTAAGACTTATTTGCTACTATGTTGCTTCCCAGAGAGCAGACTCCCTCTGAAAATGGCCTGTATTCCTCCACATTTGAATTCAGTGAGGAAAATTACACCACAGAACAGCAAAGCTAATAAACATTAAACATTTTAGCAAAGGAAATAGGGCCTGATCCAAAGCCTACCAAACTCAATGGGAGTCATTCCAATGAATTCAGAGGGCTTTGGCTCAGGTCATAGAATGTCAGTACAAAAAAGATTTGCTTTCCTTTCCCCCTGAATGTTAGTTTTCCAGCCTGAGATCATCCTCACTGTGCTCGCATGTCAGCCTCACACTGTTCCTTAAGTTTCATCAGGTCTTGCACCAGGCTGTGATCTGCTCCATGGGTTACTTTCATAATGTTATAAGCCTTGAGGAGAGACAGGAAAAGGGACAAGTTAGTTCACCATCTCTTACCTTCAAGTTCACATCTGCAGCTTCACTTTAGGGCAGTGATTCTCAACCTGGGATATGCAGAGGTCTTCCAGGGGGTACATCAACTCATCTAGATATTGGCCTAGTTTTATGACAAGCTAGATAAAAAGCACTAGTGAAGTCAGTGCAAGCTAAAATTTCATACAGACAACGACTTGTTTATACCGCTCTATAAACTATACATTGAAATGTAAGTACAATATTTATATTCCAATTGATTTATTTTATAATTATATCGTAAAATGAGAAAGTAAGCAATTTTTCAGTAATAGCAAGCTGTGACACTTTTTTATTTTTATGTCTGATTTTGTAAGCAAATAGATTTTAAGCGAGGTGAAACTTGGGGGTACGCAAGACAAATCAGACTCCTGAAAGGGGTACAGTCGTCCGGAAAGGTTGCGAGTGACTGCTCTAGGAGCACAATCTACATGTGGACTTGCCTATGCCACCTACTCTGCTGCTCCCTTTCTATTGTGCTGGTGATTCCCTGCCTTAGAAATTCCTGAAATGTCCCCATCTTAAGTCACAATAAGGCCATTACTTCTCATAAGACATTTCCCGATTCATTCATACTGCTTCTGATAGATACCTGCTCTGGTTCTCAAGTCTGAGAGACCAGATTTCAATCATTCTGCTGTCGGGGAAGAATCTTTTCTTAAACAGTGTTCTGAAACCTTATTTGGAATTGAAATAATATATATTATCTGATGTGATGAAAAAGTAAACAGAACAATAATATTCTATTTCCAGCATTCAGAGGTTGACAAATGGAGGCAAATACCTGCTATCACTATCTTTACATTTACTTCCAATTAACTATTTTTAAGTGTGTGTGTAGGGGGAGGGGGAGTTGAATAAACAACTCTGAAAGCAGTCACAAAGCAAATCACAAAGTGCATAGATTTCTGCAGAGTGTTATGTAGGCTGTGAGCTATCACTGGGGCCAGACAGTAAAAAAGGGAAAGTATATCTTTCTAAGTCAAATAGAAACATGGAAACATTGTCGGCCTTGTTTCAGGTGCCCAAAGTATCTGAAATAAAATCTGAAATCCTCAATTTGTGCCTTGTCTTATGTTATAGAAATTCAAACCTGGCCATATTTTGCTAAATTCTTGCGTTTACATGTGCCCATTTTCGGGCATAATTATTTTCCCTGCAAAAACATGTCAACTGGTCTAATATTCCAGGTTTTCCTCACTAACTTGCCACTTCTAGGGGGAAGGTCAAAAAAACATTTAAACAAAGTTGTGGGAAATTTCTGTCACGTCACACAACCCTAGGTATTAAAATACACAGTGTTTTTTTAATAGAAAAGAAATATAAAAACTACCAGAGTAAAAACCAGCCCTCATCTGACAGAGGCATGCAAAAGGTTAAGTGTGGTTAATGGCGACTCATGTGGTACAGGAGCCATCCTGGCCGTGCAGAGTAGAATGGCTCAGTGAGGGATGCACTGCCAGGTGCATTTTACTACCTGGAAAAATAGCAGTGTGGCCTCATAAGTAGCAAATGCAGTGGATTGCAGTGTCCGTGTTAGCTGACTGGAGACCAGGGCATGCCTAGGTCTCAGGGTTCATTCTAGCTAGCCAGATACCTGGGCATGCCTGTGTTAAAAAAATAATCTTTAATAATATACCTTCCTTTGAAATTATGTCACTACTAGAGCTGAGCAAAATTTTTCAGACAAATAGTTTATTTGCCACAAAATGCAGTTTTGTTTGATCCAAAACTATTTGTGAACTTGACATGAATTTGTCAGTTTCAGTCTGAAAAAAAATTCAGGCTACATTCACAATATAAAGAGGGGGAGGAAGACAGGGTGCCTACCATCTAATTTTTAGCCCAGCAGTTAGGCTCTCAGCTGGGATGTGGAAGACCTGGCTTCAAATCCCCACTCTAGAGCAGGAATGTGAACCTAGGTCTCTCCTCACCCAGTGAAGTGCCCTAACCACCAGGTTTGTATGCTATTCTGGGATACTGCGCTCTCAGTCTCTCCTGGTGAAACGGTTCCTGTTTGTATAACATACCTGAGCAGTCATTGGGAACAAGCATGATGGTCTCTAGAGTGGGGTGGTTAGGGTACCCACCTGGAAAGAGGGAAACCTAGGTTCCAATCCCTGCTCCAGTGTGGAGATTCAAACCTATATCTCCCATTCCCCTGGTGAGTTCCTAACAATGGTGCTAAACATTACAACATGGGCAGTGCCTCCTGGCCATTTTATGAATTTAGCCCTTTAAAAATGCCCAGAAACAAAACATTTTGGGTCAAACGACCTGTTTCATTTAATCCAAAATGGACTTTTTCAATTTGCAATTTTTTGTTTGGAATTTTCAGTTTTGCTTCGACCCGAACCACATTTCTTCCCCCTTGATTTGAAACTGCCAGCGAACAAAAAAACCAGTCATTCACCCAGCTCTAGTCACCATTAATGAGCATAACACTTCTCTTCCCTCCCAAACACGTCACCATTACGATGGCAAATATTGCATCTGATCTCTCTCATTTTGTCTTTCCAGGGTGAACATCACCTTACTGCAGAAGGCCCCAATTAAACCCTGCATTAAGGGTCCTATCCTGGTTCCATTAAAATCAATCGCAAATTTATCAATGACATCTTAAACCCTAATCCTGGACCCACTGGAGGGTTTAAGTGGTGCTGAGAGCCTTGTGCAGGCCTGCTATCCTGGGGTGATTTTCACTCACTGTAAAATATTTTCTACCAAGCTGAAACTCAGAAATGCTAATGCAGTTCCTGCTTTCAGAACACTAGCCTGTTCTCTTAAGCTTCCCAGACTTCCCACAGTAAGTAACAGAGCTGAGGCTGGATCTTGTGGTCTCCCTCTCGGTTTAAGGAATAAATCTAATTATAAAGAACTACAGTAATCGTACCGCTGCAACACAGAGCATAGTGTCATCAGCCACACGGTTTCTCCCTCAAGAATATAAAAACCCATTAGATGATTGGTATGAATGTGCCTCTGTGAATGCAAATGAAAGCACAGCACATTCATTTGTGTCTGATTTTCACTGGATTGGATGAGGTGCCGAACATCAAAGATGCATGTATCCGTATGCAAATGTATTGATGCATCACTCCATCATGATGAAAGAAGAAAGCAAACTGCATTGCACTGATGCGGTACAATGTGAAGGCCAGTATACTGGAGAAATTATTTTTGTTTCGCCTGTGTCTCTTGATTAAAACAAATGCTTGTTACACAGAGTAAAGGAAGAACAAATGCCTTTAGATTTTCAGCCTCATTTTACAATAATCACAGCTACTGTTACCAACACAGAATGGAAACAGGGTCTAAAACAAAAATCTGTTTATATAAAGGGGGATTTCTCAGGTGTTGCATGGCAACTGGGGTGAGAGGATTTACCCCGCTTTCTGTTCCACTTACCAAAGGGTAATAATGGTGCTGGGTTATGCTAGGAAAGGACACAGCTCAGCATCTGGCTAATGTGTCATCATAGTGTAATTAAAATTTTCTTATTTGCATGTTTATAAACATCATGCCACTACCTCAGTTCCTGGGGTTATTGTGAAGACATTGATCCTGCTCATTTATAGTGATGGGCACACGAGAGTGGAGGGCCAGGTTAGTGCTGTAACAGAGGACTCATGAGCAAAACATCTGGGCAGTGGGGACTCTGCATTGAATAGAATGGCATGGATAGAATGCCGGGGGCAGGACCAGATACACATTGAGGGTCTGCTCGCAGAGCTGGATCTCCTCAGGAAGAGATTCATGGTTCACAGGGAAGCCAACCACGTAGTGTCGCCTGTTAGTAGGATGCCGTGTGCTCTGTCATCCAGGGTAAGTGAGCTGGGAGGGACCCCAGCCCTTCTTCCAGGCCTTTTAAGGGTGATAACTGCCCAACAGGTTCCAGAAGCAAGTAGTTCCTGTGCTCGGGTAAATGCAGAGACTGAACTTTGCCCAGCCATTCACTGCCCCAACCTACCTTGTGCAGCCAGGCCTCAAGTGTCACAAAACCATGGAACGATGGGGGCAGTGGCCATTATCCAAGCGCCCCAGATAGAATAAAGCCAAGAAGGAAGTGTGCTGCAGCCCTATGGAACAGCTATGGGATGGAAGGTGAATTCCAGCCCCCTGCTCCACTTAGTTCCCCAAACAAAGCCCAGCTGTGCACAGGCTTTGAATGGTGAGGAATTACCTTCCTGAACTGTGATACGTGATTACTATTTAAATCAGTTTTTAACGCTTTGGTCAACCAGTGCCCTAGAAGTTAATCGTACCTCTCTCCTTGACAGAGGTTTCCCATGTGCTCTAGACACACACTTCTGCCATTGCCCTAATATGACAGGAGAAAAGGTACCTGAAGGAGCAGCACTGATAGCTCACACTAGTGCACTTCCATTATTGCCAGTTTATTAGAACCATTCCTGGCTCCTCAAAGTCAATCTGTGGCTCAGCTACAGCTATTTGCTGGCGAAGGTTTCACTGAACTATAATCTTACTCTCCCTTGTTTACTTTTTTTCAAACTTTTTAGTAAGGCAAAGTTATAATAAAACATTAATATACTACATCATACATTACCCGTTCAGGATCAGGTTAATATTCAAAGAACCTGGCTAAAGATTCTGGCTTGGCAGCTGTGCAGTCCTCCTCTTCTGAGTACGCTAGCCAGTGTGACCAAATTTCTTAATACCTATCCTCCTTTTGGCAGTTCTCTTGTACACATACTTCGTGTGAAAGCTTTTCCACTACAAGGACAGTCTATATTTTACTATAGCACAATTCCATAGCGAGGTCACATTTTTCCAAACCACGAGCAATACAGAGTCTAGCTAATAACAATAAAAAAAGAAATTAATTTGCCTTTCTTAAAATTTGCCTTTCAGATTGTATTCCAGAAGTACAGTATTGCCTCCCTGTAATGTGGCCATTTCCTACTGGAGGATCTAATGTATTCTTACGGCCAGAAATTCACTATGGTGTAGAGGGCCATCACAAGGTCCTTTGCATCATTTAACCCCCAATTTGGAGCTGCAGAGACAAGAGATGAATGGTGCAGGGGGTGTTGGTAGTGGCCTGACATAGGCTGACATGGAAGGCAGCAATAGGGGCAGCCAAGGGGAAGGGGCATGAAATTTGTGTATTCGGGGGTGTCAATACACTGCACACATGATGCAGAGTGGGTTGTCAACCCACAAGCTGGAGTAGTGGCTATGGAAATCAGATTACATGGGATTTACGTGAGTGATGTGAATCTCACTCAGATCCCAATTTCTTCTGCCTATCCCAAATCCTTCTCCTGAACACTGACACTGAAATCAGTCTGGCTAATGTTCCAGGAAGGATGCTATTCAGTACTGGAATGCATTAAATAGAGGACTAGAGTATAGCAGGTCCTGAACAGGGAGGGACTCTAACACATCTAATTGCAAAGGGCCAAATCCAGCCCCAGTATAACTCTATGACTTTATGTGAGTTACACCAGGGATGGATTTAGCATAAGAAGCCACATTCTACTCTGATTTACATGAGTATTGTCCCATGCAGTCAGTCTAAAAGAGGGTCAGAACTTGGCTCAAACTAAGAGCAGGATGTGACCTGCCCTTATGATGCTGCACAGGGAAACAAGGTGGCACAAGGTAGCCCATTAGTCCCCTTCACAGGTTACCTGCATTACTGATCTCCCCACCTTCGCGCAGGCGGATGAGGAGAGGGCAGGCAGCATGGGGAATGGGTGGACCCTCAACTTTGGCTTCCTCAATACACCAACCAGTGCAGCTGAGCTGGCACAGAGGGGGAAGTAATTAGCTAAGGTGAAGATCAGTAGCAGATTACTCACCCACGAAAGAAAGAGGGGAGCAAGGCTGGAGATTGTGATTCACTGTTCCCTCCCTGGTCAGTTCCTGGAGAAACACAGCTATGTGCCACCCTGACTCAAGGCAGATCGTAAAGTGGCAAGCTGACCCCAAACTGGCAATACAGTTTAAAACAACCAAACACCCCTTTGGTCATCTGAATAATGCATTCAGCCAGTTCTGTGGGGACTCTCCTGATGACCATTTCTATCTAGTTTCCTACAATAACATAAGATAACCAGAAAAACAAATACCGGGCAAGATGCATGTTCGCCCACTAGAATGTTATAGTAACATCTATGAAAGCAGAACTGGGACTGAGGACTCATTCCATCTCCTGAGCAGTGAACTGCGCATGTTCGCAAGCTATAAATGTCATAGGGGAAATGGCAACGCAGATTAGCTCGATCCTGACAGCCATATGGCTCACTTCTGAAAAATGAAAAGGAACCAGAATTGATTACTTTCTCATCAGGTTTTTTAATAACCACAATTGGACACAATTTCAATTAAACCTATCAAGTGAGGATTTAACTTACTAAGACTTGCTAGGACAGACATCACATTAAATATTAATTTATTATTAAAAACATGGACGTTATCAACTATTCAACATACATTCATAATCAGTTAAACCTCAATCAATCTGTAAACAATTTTGTAAAGAACATAAAATAGTAAGTTACACATGTAGTATATGGATGTTAAGTAATGGGAATACAAAAACCCAGACAATGTCTGCATTGAAGGATACAGCTCTTAAGTTCCTCAATTGCATCACTGCTAAACAAACATAAAAGATAAATGGAAAAGAAATAAAATAATATAAATCTATACTTTGGGTCATAGCGTGCTCTCAGTTATTCTCATGGAACTGAGAATAAAATCAAGATCATTTACAAGGACCATCCCAGGGAAAGGGAGGAGAAAGAGGCAAAATGATCTTAGTGCATCTACATCTTGAAATTCAGGGAGTACGGAACCAAACCACATCATGTTAACAAGAATGGGACAAACTCTGCTCTCCATTACATCAGTGCAGCTCCATTGTCCTCAGGGGCCATCAGCAGGTGACCATTAATACACTAAGCCTGATTTTGCTTGTATTGCTGTCAGTGGCTGCAATCTTCACCTGTACCAAGCTGTTGTTTAGTGCTTGTCTCTCACGCTACGTCTTACAAGTGGGGAACTGAGGCACAGAGGCAAAGTGACTTGCCCAAGGCCACATAGGAAGTCTGTGGCAGAGCAAGAAACAGAACCATTGGAAAAGAAGAGGGTTCAGTGGGTAGGGCACTGGCCTGGCACTCTGGAGACCTGGCTTCAATTCTTTGTTCTAGCACAGCCTTCCGGTGTGATGTTGGGCAACTGAGCACACTTCTGTGTGCCTCATTTCCCTACCTGTAAAAATGGATAATAGTGCTTCCCTTTCGCACTGGGGTGTTGTGAGGATAAACACATTAAAGGTTGTGAGGTTCTCAGATACTAGGGTGATGGGACTTAGGGTCGAACCCACATCTCCTGAGACAGAGGGTAACAACAGGGCCATCCTCGGTCCCAGGCCCACCTCATTCTGTGTAGCTTGTGCTCCTTTGTTTCAGTAACAATCATCTGAATCTATGACATTTTCTATTGCTCCTTTCTACTGAGCGAAGAATCTCTCAGGAATCATTTATCATTTAAGAGTACAACGAGTACTGGAGGGAAAGGAGTCTGAGCTCAATGTAAATGATTATACAGCACAGAAGGTGATGATTTGGGGGCAGACAGGCATGAGGATCACTTCTTCTAATTTGCTAACTTACACACTTGGGGAAAATATAATGCCCAGATACCTACATGGGACTCCCATTCACTTCAATGGGAGCTGTGCATATGCATCCAAAAGCCATGACTCTGGCTGTGTATGCTAGGGATGTGGGAATGCTGAATAGGCTTTGTTTCTTTGTGAGAATGGCTGCCCTTGCCCCAGGTCTGATGGAGCCATAACCTTATCGATATATAGCTTAAGCTGATGAAAAGGCTTGACATTTTCCAGAATTCCACACAGCCCTGGGGTGAAAATGTTCTTTAGGCCCAAGTCTCCTCCCACTTACACAATGTATCTCCACTGACTTCATCAGAGTTACTCCAGATTTACACTAATGTAAGTGAGAGAAGACTCGGGTCCTCTATGTACAGCATCAGCTATTTCTGCTTGCTTGGCTACACGGTAGCAGCTTCTGGGTAGCGCCAGGTCTCACATGAACGCGAGTCCCACAAAGAACATGATGGGAGTGAGTGTAAAATGAAACTGCTGCTTCAGCTTGCCCTGTAGCAAAGCATACCAATTAGGTGCTGTGTGGCGCTTGTGTTTTGTGATACAATGTGAACAGAAAGCCTCGTCTGGCGTCAGTGCTGAGCCCCGCTCTAGCCTAGCAGCAAAAAGACAGGAGGATGGAGCAGATGGCTTTCTGAGGCAATGAGCAGAGGAAAAAAGGAGAGGGTGTCAGATACCGGAGATGGGGAGAGAGACTGGGATAGGGCCTCACTGTGTGTAGCTCCTTCAGGCCTGACTCTGAATGGGCAACATCAATAATACAAAGTAGTAGCCAGGAGGCGTTGGGGCAGCAAATCTTACTGTGGGCTTGGGATGGGAAATGACTTATAACCTAACGTCCCAAAAGCTGCTGTGGAGCAGAGATACAAATCGCCTCTGTGTGTGTTTTCTTCAATATTTTTAAAATGGTAATAATAGTAATATAATAGCAGGGCAGATCAGAGCCTGGGGTGGAAGGAAGTGAATATAAACTCAGTTCAGGCACAACAGGGACGACTTAAACCTGGAATATAACTAGATAGGAAGCATCTGCCAAAACAGATCCTAGTGAGAGAAAGAATTGGAATGATAAAAACCAGCAGGGATTAACAGAAGCTGCTCACTGATTTGAAGTAGGCTTGTAAGAAAACGCAAGTGTTAAAACAAATTGAGCTCCTCTCTCAACTCACAGAGCCCAGAACCTGTGGAAATGGGGGGAGGGGCTTCTGTTTGGGAGCAGGGAGGATGGGGAATGCAGCGCAACCATTGCTATCCTCCTCCCACAGTTCCGATTGGAATTACACCCACTTTTCCTTCCCCGTAGGAGGAGGCGGAGGAGAGCATCTGGCCATTTAGCATTACCAGTTACTCCTCCTTTTTTACCCTTCACACCCACTCCAACAAGGAACAACTCAGGGCATAATCAGAAATACGAAGAAGGGGGAAGAACAGTGTAAGGCACTGAAATATTTTTACCCTTCTCCGATTTAATAGCTGTTTTCCATTCAAGGTTAGGGGGTGATTAATGGCACCTTTGTGCTACTGACTAGTAATTAAAAATGACTGATATTAAAGGAAGCCTGCACTTGAAACACGAAGCAACCATGACCCATCACCACGCTCTGCAGTTATTACTTGGGGAGCTGGCACTGAGAGAAAGACTGGGGAATGGTATTCAGAAGAGTAAGGTGCAATCAGAGCTGGAAGGGGAGGAATATATGGAGGATTCATGGAGAATATGGGAGGGGAGGAACGCAATAGGCAACACTGACCTGCTTCAAGGTCTCCAGTGCTTGAGGAAACATGTCTTGAGTATGCTGCAATTTGCCCACTCTCATCATCTGGACAGCCCTCAAGGGATGAAAGCTGGAATAATACAGTCTGTGGAGAAGAGGAGGAAAAATATAGTGTCACTCTGTCAGCTCTCACCTTCACAGTCTCTGCCTCGGTGGAGAGCTATTAGGGTGGGACTGCAAAATCATTGTGAATTTTAATAAAGTACTAAAAGAAAATTAGCTGCACTACTGAGAAGCATGAAATACTGAGGGGAATTAACAAATTATTATTCTCTGTCTCTGTGGAATGTCTTTTACATTATCCTGTTAGAAAGTGACAGGGGATGGGATTATCTCATACACTACTGTTGGATAATACAATCACATTTACAGTACTTGGTGTTCAAAAAAAGAAAGAGAGAGAGACTTTCAGTCTCAATACCACCAAAGCAATTTCATTTTCAAAGGGAAGTTTCAATATGGAGCCCAACCTTGGATTCCAAATTCAAGGCAAGTCCACAGGAGGGGAAACGCATGGGAACCTTATGACAAAAACTGTGTGTGTGTGCTGATTTTGAGAGCTGTCTGTGGAGTTCCCTACCCAGAAAACAGTTGGAGAGAATATGTTCCAGGAAGCTTCTTGTCAAAGGCCTGGGCATTGTCTGGACAAGGTATCGAGAGCAGGTGGGATGTATTTGCTATCTCACAAATGCTCTCACTTGTCTCAGTTTTACACAAGGCCAACTCTCCATTTCACTCCTGACTTACATTAGTTTAGACAGATGAAAGCAGAATTGCGATTCATGCCCTCTTGTGTTTAGAACAAGGAATACCGTGTAATGCTATGGTATCACTAATTACCTTCCGTATACTGTGGAAATGTCAGTATTGTATGGCAACCATTCTGCATTTCCAAAATCACAGAGCATATCTTTATTAATCATGTACATTGAAGATTAAGGACCAAACCATATGATTCAGCAAGGATAAAAGCATCACATTTGAACTATATGAATAATCCATTTTCTCCATTACACCTATAATGAACTCTTAAAGGTTCTTTCTAAGTATAATCATTGGAAGAAGCACTGACTATAAAATCCCTAGAAAGAGACATGTCCTCTTTTACAATTCAATAGGAACATTTTCAAAATGGTGGACTAGATTCTCCTTTCACTTACCCTGTCCTTACCTACGGGATTCCACTGACTTAAGCAGATTTACTCCTGATTTACACCATTTTAGGTGAGAGGAGAATCAAACCCAGTGTCTGGGGGATTAAAAATAAATAACCTGATAAATTAAATGATTTGAACAAGTCGGATGTGCAGGAAATGCACAGAAAATCCATATGAAAGGGGGCTAAATTACTTCCCCCTTTCACTCTATGCTGAAAATGCAACCCTCAGTAAATATAGGAAACTATTTCAATAGCAATGAAGTAGAAGGTTCCCTCATTACAAATTCCAAATTAAGTATGGAAATGTAAACATCATGTAAAGTGTTTTCACAAAGAAAGTTTCTATTGATTCCAAAAAGCTGCAGTGAAGATATACAAAGATGCATATTTTCTGACACATGCACAGTATGGATGAGACCCAGCAACAACAGCCTCTTCACCCAGACAGCCCCCGTTCAAGCAGAAAAAGACAAGTCATCCTTAAAATGGCCAAAAAAAATTATCCCATGCCTTCAAAATCCCCATCCTTTGTAACTACAAAGGATTGTGGGGATGCGTTAGATTGCAAGATGACTTGTTTGGCCTTTTCTCTGACCTTGAGGACGCCGCCAGCGACAGAACACAGTGGCGTGCAACAATCAGAAATATCTGCATTGCCTTTGAGGAAGACCGCTGCTGGCGTCTACAAGAGGCACGCAAACCATGTCACAGAGCACCAGCAGCACACAATCCACTGACCGTGAACTTCCCATGCACCATCTGCAGCAAAATGTGCACCTCTAGAACTGGCTTGTACAGTCCTCAGAGGGCACACCATGAGACCAACAATAGATGATCTGCACAGATTTGTCATCATCGGATCGATGGACTACCAAGAATCTCTGACCAAAAGGAATTGAGAACGACTAGACTGGAGTGAAGGAAAAAAATAAGCAGTAGCGGTGTCAGTAGCTCGTGAATATGACAATCCAAGTTTTCAAGAATCCATGGCTCCAAACAGACAATTGCTTTGAACACTTGAAAATAACCAGTAGGTTTATTTTTAGTTTTCAGTTTTGGTTGTTACATCCATTGGCATGGGGACATCCATCACCAACTACACTTGCGGATAAATGTAATAGAAGCTGAGTAGGCCAGATTCCAGTGTGGTTACAGAGGAGTAATAGTAACTTCAGTAATGATGACTTAAGGGGTAGACATTGTTAGCTGGCAATCATTTACAATATCTTAGTAAAAGCTTCTAATATCTATATAAATGGTACATACCTGTTTGTATGCCTCTATCCCCACCACCTGTATGTCAATATGACTACTACACTGGGGGATGGGGTAAAATGGGTCCCAGCTGGGCCACCTCTCCCTGCAGCACCCTTCAGATCCAGAATTGTGTAGTGAAGACCACCACCCACAGCTCTGTGGTCACTAGGACCCAATGGTGCCTCCCTGCTTCCCCACCATATGGGGTGGAACCAGCCAGAGCTGCTGCAGAAGCAGCCAAAGCAGGGACCTCCTGACAGTCCGAGAACTTTCTACAGTTTTGACTGGACTTCCTGTGCCCTGTGCTGATTGCCTGTTTGCTACAACTGTCTCCCTCCCCTGCCCTCAGTCTCATCTTAGCTTCACTCCACGCCTGCCCTGTCTATCCTCTTTCTCCCCTGCCCTGTCTCCTTCACCCTCCTTCCTTTCCCTTTTCTTTCCATTTATCGGATTCCCTCCTATCTAAACTTACCTAAAACAAATCATGGCACAAACATGACATTTGCTACCATCACACGGTTCACTTTGCTAGTGTGTTCTACCCCTCCGCTCACCCTGTGTCCATCTGTAAACTCTCCAGGGCAGGGACTGGCTGCTACTCTGTGTTTGTACAGTGCCTAGCACAACAGGGCCCTATTCTTGGTTGGTCTTTAGGCACTACTGAAATGAACATGAATATAAAATAATAATAATAGGCTTTGGAGGCCCTGACCTTACCATGTGTATCAGAGACTATCAGGGTTGGAAGGGACCTCAGGAGGTCATCTAGTCCAATCCCCTGCTCAAAGCAGGACCAATCCCCAGACAGATTTTTGCCCCAGATCCCTAAATGGCCCCCTCAAGGATTGAACTCCCAACCCTGGGTTTAGCAGGCCAATGCTCAAACCACTGAGCTATCCCTCCCTCCCCTGCTGAGCCTGCGCAGAGCCCCTCTGCCTTCAGCAGGGCTGTATGTGGGCACAGCAGTTTGCCCATGCACTATTGGGGCTCTAGCTTGTGAGCTTCTCAAGGCCAGAGCTGTCTCTTTCTTTGTGTCTGTGCAATGTCATGAATGGTGGGGCCCCAATCTTGAATAATAACAACTGATGTCAGTGGAGCTAGACCAGATTTCATAAGGTTTATCTGAGATAAATATCCATTTAGATACAGGGACAGATTCTGTGTCCAGTTCTTAAGATAACTGGAATCTGTGAAGATTTAGGATTATGGTATATATGATACTAGACAAAGCAGAAGGCAATTAAACAATATGTCAGGCACACAACCAAGAACACTTCCAGCCATAAACTAACGCAAGTGGAAATTTAAGAGGAGGTGGTAGAGGAAGCGAGCGTGAGCACATAAATATTTACAAAACTGTTTTACTGTGCTGATTTATGTGCTGATCTTATGCATGTGTTTAGTTACATTTTGCAAGCCTTAGTGCTGACATTTGAAATAGCTATTTATCATCATTTTTCTGGAATAAATCTGTTGCACTCTTGGAACATCTTTTGTGTAGGCATATCCTTTGGGCAAGCTTACGAGAGGAATCTGTGCAACGTGCAGCTCTTCTGGGAGAAACGTGAACAGGCAAAATACTGTTGGCTTCTTCCAGGCATCCTCAGGCCGGTGTACTATCAAAAAACTGGCACATGGAAAGGACTAAGATGATGTCTCAGGTATTTGTGAACCAATATATTATCCCCAACAGTTGCTCTGATCAAAACAAGTTGTTAAAATTAAGACTCAGGAACAGATTCACCAGCCAGGGGATTGACATCTAAAGATCATCACTAAGAGGCTAAAGACAATTACATAGAAACTCCTACTTTAAAAAGCACTAAGGCTCAAAGAATCTTAGAGCTTCAATCTAGGAAGGATTTTCATGGATTTATCTGGGCCTAAGGTATAGTAAGAGCAGAGAAACTTACTGAGAGCTGAAATAAAGGCCCAGCGTTCCATCGAGTCCACCTTTCTGGCCAAAGTCTGACAGTGTAAAGGAAGGTTAACCCCATACTACAACTAACAGGTAAGGCAAGACTGTAAATGAAGACGGTTGGGGACACTGAGAGGATGTCAGGATCCATGGGACGAGAACCCTGGTCTGTGGAGCCTGATGGCTAGCATTTCCATATTGTCACTGGAAGGGCAGGCTGAGTCACACCCAGGGAACACTGTGGAGATTGGGCACTGCGGGAAGTACTACTTCAGTAGTTCTCAACCTATTTACCATTGTGGGCTGCATATGCAGCTCTCTATGTGTTATGTGGGCTGCATCCACACAATATATATATACTACCTGTATGGCCCTGAGGATGTCACATAGGCCGCAGCTGTGTGCTGATTGGGCCACAAGCGGCTGTGGGTTGAGAACCACTGAGTGATGGTACTCTGCAGCCCTCTGACTGGTCAAGTGCACTACTTAACCCTGGATGGTGCCCCAAGAAGTGGTCTGGGCAACTATACAGACTTCTGGTCTGCTGCAATTCCAGATGGCACCTTGCTTTCTGATCTCTGAGCTTCAATCCTATCCTGACCCTGACTCTTGCTTTCTGATTCCAGCCTGGTACAGTACTACCTCTGATCTCCAAACCTGGCCTGACTGTGACCCTGACTCTTCCTTATTGAATCTGGCTCTAGCGATTCCTCAACTCCTGCTCATGGATTACCATCTTGTGGCCATCCTT